TTCTTATTCAGATAGATGTATTTCTAAATATACTTGTGGAAAGGTCTCACATGGACAACATTCACTTAAAATGTGCTACAGAGGCATGATTAAAAAAAGTCTCCACCAGGTGTAAGAGGGTGTAAGATTATAATTGTCTACATGATGAAGGGACTTAAAGGGTAAAACGAAGACACACAGATGGAGGGACTGGAATGGCAGCGTTAGCATACGTGGGAAGCTGCAAGGGACAAAAATGGTGATTTAGTAGTTAAAAACCATTTGGTCAGTAACTTCGGAAAACACGTCCTTCAAGCATAGAGTTTAGGAGACTCCTTCTCCCTATCCTTGTCACAAACCCTACTGCACAACTTTTCCTGAGTGGCTTATCCCAGGACACACTGTCCCCACCTGCCTCCAAGGACACGCTGTCTCACCTGCCTGCTGCTCTATGCTGCTGGTGACTTCTGAGGACTCCTTCCTGGCATTCCTACTTTATACTTCCTCTCTTTGTCCCCCACCTCCTGGTATTCTTTTAAGGGTAAAGGTCTTTGAAAGATTTACATTTATTTTTATTGGAAAGGCGGATCTACAGAGAGATGGAGAGAGAAAGATCTTCCATCTGCTGGTTCACTCCCCAAGGGGCCACAACAGCAGGAGCTGAGTTGATCTGAAGCCTGGAGCCTAGAGTTTACTATGGATCTCCCACGCAGGTGCAGGTCTCAAGGCTTTGGGCTGTCCTCAACTGCTTTCCCAGGTCACAAGCAGGGAGCTGGATGGAAACTGGAGCAGCTGGGACATGAGCCCATGCCCACATGAGCTCTTGGTGAATTCAAGGTGAGGATTTAACTATTGAGCCATTGCACAGGGCCCAAGATAAAGGGCTTTTGAAATGGAGGTATACAGTACAAGAGCTGTTCTGATAGAAATCACATTGACTGTGGGGTGAGCATCTAGCATAGCAGGTAAGATGGCCATATTCTACACCAGAAAGTATGGGTTCAAGTCCCAGCTCTGGCTTCTGACTTCTGTTGATGCAGACCCTGGGAGACAGGGAATGGTGGCTCATATCTTTGTGTTTCTGTCCTGGAAGACCCAGTGGGAGCTTTGAGGCCCTGGCTTTGGGTCTGATGCAGAACCAGGTGTTGCTGCATGTGGGGAGCAGACTAGTAGATGAAAGCATTTTCTCAGGCTCTCTCTCACATACACTTTCTCTCCAATGATTTTTGAAAAAAAAAATCAAGTCAAATTCACGATCATATCTAATGGCTCGAGGAGCATGAGTCTCAATAGGAATAGCTAATAAGTACATTTTTGAGCCCTTCTGACATGCTGCAGTCTACACCGATCACCTCATTTGACCAAGTCAATGACCTGATGAGGCAGTTACCACTTTTGAATGCTCACCCTAGAGGTGAGGAAAGCGAGGAAGCTCCAAGTGGGGGAGTGTTTTACTGGAGTGCAGACAGCTACAGGGTGGCAGAATCAGGACCACAATCAGGTTTGTGTTCCTCTAAAATCTATCCGTTTAGAAGTCTTATTATACTGAGTGCAGCATGACTTAACTGGGAAACGCAGTGACATAACACTGCTCTCTGATATTATATTTCACTGGATGCATCGCGGCACGACTGAGAAAAGCATATGTTGCTTGATTTGAGCGAGAGATTTGGGCTCAGATCCTGGCTACGAAGATCAACAATGTGACCTTGGGCCTGTGGTTTAGAATGACCTTCTGTGCTTTGCAACATCTGGTCTAGTCTAGTGCTCTGTTTCTTCTTCTTCCTATAATCACCTACCAGGCTCTAGTTACTCTTGCCTCCCTTGGACTCCTCATCCCAGTTCTCCCCTCTGCACAGGTGCCACTTGCCCATCGAACCCATCTTGTAGCATTTCTGTGGTTCCCAATGGTGAACATTGTTGTCCCATTATTCTTTTATAGTGTTTTGACACTTTCATATGAAATTCATTGGATTTCATTCAATGCTCCTATGAAGGTCATTTTTGCCATCTATTTACAAAGTTCGTGTCTGCTTAATTACAAGTCCACAATCAGGGACCACAGGTCAAACTCAGCCCCTGTGTTCAGGTCAATAAGACCTGTTTGGAACATGTCATGCTTGTTCACTTACTCCTTGCCTGTGGCTGCATAGATCTTAGAAGGTAAAATAGACATTCTACTGTTTACCATGAGAGATGCTAGCTATTGCTCTACAGAGAAGCTTCAGGACCCCTGTAGCAGGCACTGAGCTGGATGTGATTCTTGAGTATATAGTGCTAGACACATAGCCTGGTAGCACTTGATCATTTAACAAATGAGTGAATTATTCAGCCGAAAATGGGACTGACAAGGACTCAGCAGAATAACGCATATATAGTCCTTGGCATGTAACGCATGGCTACTCAATCACTGAGTTGTTTGGAAAATGTCTATAAAATAAATTTAGAGTGCATGACTTTTTTTTTTTAACATCGCAGCTTAAAAATATCCATCTTACCTAAACTAAAAATTCAGAAGCAGTACCTTCTGTAAAGCTAAGATCTCTGAAAATCTTATGGACTGTTAATTTTAGCCTCCTAAATTATTTATATTTGTTGTTGGGCTTTCTGAATTTTAGCTCGATTTGCTTCCATGATGCAAGAAAAAGGCAAAATTGACTGGGAACCATTCTGTTTTCTAACAGTTTTGTTTCCTAATGATACACAATTGATCATGTGGGTCATTTCATTTCACACTTTAAGTCTGCATTTCCTTTTTTTTTTTTTTTTTGGTGGGGGGAGGACACACCCTTGTCTGTGTGCAGCCAAATAAACAAGGGCAATGGCAGAGAACTTGGATGACTTCTAAGAAATGATGACAGGACCACTGTGAGTGAGAGATTTTGCAGGGCAGTCTGTGGCAGGGGAAGCTTCGGAAGAGGCCGAGCATTCACCACTTTCTTTTCTCCCTGGATATATGCAGCTCAGAGGAGGTCCCAGGCTGCTGGTAGGATGTGCTGTGCAGATGTGTCAGTTTTTATGTTGAGAAGTGACTGACCGACCGTAGAGTCTCAGATAGGTGGCAGGACCCCTCCTGGGGGAGGTTGGGTTTGAGCATGACACAGGTTCTCGTGCAAGGTGTATACACTATGTATGTATAGTAATTTTCAATTTTTCTAAGGCCATTAAAAAGTGCTGAGTTAAAGGGTCTATTCAACTTAAAAACTGGAGGAAAGAATAAAAGTCATCTAACTTCTACAGAATAAAATCAAGGCATCCATCCCTAGGGTGAGAAAGAAGAGTCAAAGCAAGCTAACTTTAAATAATCTCTCTTCTCTTAAAGTTATTATGACTTCTTCAGAAGAGAGTGATGGCAATTATAAATGCAAATATATCTAAATGAAAGAAAGTTGTTCTTTTTTCATTTCAAAGTATGGGATAATAATTCTCATATATCTATGTGAATTTTAGATTCTTTTATATTAAGCACAATGAAAGCTTATGAATTCAGCCCACAAAATTTTTCTGCTGTGTTTGTAAGTGAAAGGAAGATACAGGGGTTCTTGTGAACCTAAAAGCTACTAGGTCTTATTAATAGTGTATACATACTAATTCAGACAAGTTGTGAGTGTACCCCAAACAGGTTCTAGTCTAATTAATCAGGCCTAAATAATCAATGGAACGTGCTGCTCAATATTTCAATCTTCAGGTTCAACCTACACACCAGTTTAGAAAACGGGGGTCTTAGTTCTGACAAAATAATTGCTCTTTGATTAGACCCACAGCAGTAAACAATGTGCATAAAAACACTGAAAAAAGTACTTTATAAACCTTAGTATTATTCACTTTTTAGTGCAGTGTTCAGCCAAAAACAGCCCATGTGTATGTTACCATACATAATAATTTAAAGGAGTATCTACTTGAACTAAAAGGATTTTGCCCTTTCTAAAGGCATCCTGGCTTTGATGATACTCATCAAAACTCACATATGTAACAATACTGAATTGTAAACACTAAGTCAGTACTAGTCCTACTTATAGGTCCAAGGAAAAAATGAGGGACGGCAGGGGAGATGAGCGTCTGGTGGGCTGTTCCGGCTGTTCCCAAGGCTGACCTCAGTATAAACGGGCAAGAGGCAAACACTTCTCTCACCTGCCCAAATGACGCCTGTTCAACAGCTCCCATAGCTCCACTCTCTGGCTGACACCCGACAGCCCTGACACATGGACCATTACTGGACCCCGAGTAGGATGCAATCAACCACCCCCACTGCAAAGAAAACCAGATGGGGGCTGCAGGCATTCAGGATACACACATCTTGGGTGTTGCATTGAGCATTTGGATGTATAAAGTCTTCAGAACAGGTTAATTGTTATCACACAGACACGATCACTGCAGTTCTAGAAAAAAAAACTTTCAACACCATCTGCCTCGAACATTTTTTACACTTATTTTTAATTGTCACACAGAATTGTGTAACTTCTTGCCCACGTTTCTAAAATCCAGGAATTTAGGAAAATGGCATGAGTGAATGGACAGTTCACGCTTTAAATGACTAGTATCTCTTAGTTATTGGCAGCATAGTGTTAACATGCTTTGGATGTCTTTCAAAGTGTCTTTTACTGTGAACAGAGCGAAAGCCATTTCTATACAAAATAATTGGCCTATATTAAAAACCTCTCAATGGATGACCACAAAAGACCTAGTTCCCATGAACATAAGAAAATCTTTGATGATGCATGCAAAGTAGCACTGCTATGCTTATTAACTCTTAATTATTAAGCCATTTGTGTCACACAAGTTCAGGCTCCCACTTAAAGCTCACGACGTTGAAGATGTCTGTAATGATCACAAATGTGTAAACTGTATCTCTTAGCAGACACAGTGACTTGTTTTCTTTACCACTAAGAGGCAATGAGCATGCCAACTGGCCATCTTGTAATTCATCAAAGCTCCTCTTAATGCATGTTTGCAAGTTCTGGCGGAAGTGTCATAAGGAATCCATGTAAACAATGATACTGAGAGAGGTATACCCCACTCACCTGTCTGTTACGTTCATCCATAATCCTCGTAATCTGGATCTTTTTTCTCCCCATAGTCCCCGTTTTTCTTCTCTCTCTCGTCCCTGAAATTATGTATTTTTTCCTTCCTTTGCTTTCTCTTTCCTGTTTCCTTGCCGCAAATGGCCTTCTTCAGCACTTGCACAGCTCAGTTCCCAAGTTCCTGCATTCGTTCCTGGAGAACCAAAAAGGAAAATGTCACACCACGGCAACAGCAAGCCAGTTTCACAAGAACTAACGTGGTCTAGATTCATCAAGGAAATGAACTCTATGGGAGCAGAGCAATCAAATGAACGAGAAGCCCTACTTACTGAAAGTGCACGGTGTGGTCTGCACAGGGGAACACCTGCTAGGGATGGTCTGTTTGCCACGACGGAAAATCATCCCAGAAGTAATTGAACGAGTCATTTAAACAAAAACCAAGCTTTAAGTTCCAACACTTGAGATGTATTTTTTTTTTGTAAAGAGTTTCTTAATATTTTTTAATGAAATTAGGTGACAATTTTCACCCTTCTGTTATGAAAAATTACCTAAATCAGAGAGTTAATGAACCTTTCTGTACCTGTGTATGCTAAGTAGGGCAGCTAATTCATTTCTGAAGGAAAAACAATCTCCTATTTTGACAGCAGAGGTGATAACGTCCCTCGTTATGCAAATAGGATGGACGATTACGAAAGTGCTACTTGATATATGTAAATGCCAGCTCATTTAAATCTAAATCCCTTAATCTTTTTTTTTTTTTTTTGAAAATTGCCATTACGAGAATGCTGTAGAAACACTACAGGATATTTAAGCTTAAGTTGAGAGCATCTATCAGCAGTGAAATCCTTCCCTTTTGAATGCCTTAAACTATAAGTAGAATCCATATGCAGAGCAGAAACGATGCAAAAATCGACATGATTATTCCATTGACAGCTATATCTCCGTTTAATAAAAAGCCAGTAAGTCCCCTCAAGGGAAAACAATTAAGGATATCTTTTATGAGAGTGAGATGCAGAAATGCAAAAGCTTCATACTTAAAAGGAAATCTCCGAGACCTGATATAACTTTCATGAAGGACCGGGAATGACAGCTGATAAACGGAAGGAGTCCAGAACATTGAAAGTGTATGCTTCATTTTGCTGTAAACTGTCTCTGAAGAGCTGTTGCCCAGCGAGCGGCTTCCTAAGCAGCTCTGCACAGCGCTTCCTTCAAGTGCAGGCGGCTGCTTCAGTTACTAGCCTACCTTTGGTCAGCGACAGCAAGCTCCTTTACGCACTGTGCACAATTTCCTTGTTTATTTTGGTTGGCGTGTCAGACAACGGCCCTGATAAATTCCCACGTGTATTATGTAACTCCACACCAATGTCCAGGCGACTTAATAGATTGTTTGGCTCTAATTCAAAGTTCTTGGAATGGGAAGTTGGTATATACCCGTTGTGATCATCAGCTGTCTTTTGATTTCTCTAATTTTTAAATTTTTATCACCTTGAGTCCATCTTTTTTTTTTTTTTAGTGTAACTTTTCTGTGATTATCCGGTTGCAAAAGCTATTATGATGTAATTAGTTCTGGTGGATTAAGCACCACTCAAAGTCTCAGCCTCCCCACTCTCCTGTTCCTGGAGCCTTTGTAGGAAGGTCCAGCTCAGTTCTACCTCTCCCAATATCTATGCTGAGTGATACCATGACGTCACCATTGCTGACCCAAGACTACCACGTTGGCTATACTTTCCAACTGTTGGAAGAAGTTCAGCAAGTTTTAAAAAGTTACATAAATAACACACACTTGACAAATATACACAAACAAATGAGCTATTAAGAGATCTTCGGATCACACAAAAACGTGAAAAACCCACAAAGCACAATTGCATCATATAATCCGTGTTGCCAAACACTGGCCACCCATCTACTATAATTAGAAACAGCCTTAACTATCATTCAACTGGCCTACTTCCCTGTGTTTCCTACGGGCTTACCTTAGCAGCAAGCGGCATTAGAATGGCATTTCCCATGCATGTGCAAGCACCCAGAGAGACAAACAGGCTCTGTGTCTGTCACAGCAAAAGGCACTGGGGACAATTTCCTTTCCTTTCATGCAGCCTGGGGCTGGTGGAACTATCGGCTTACCAGACGACGCCTGCCTAAGCACTTATGCACTTTAAGGTGGAAGGTCAGAGTGGACAGATTAGAGGGTGGTGACAAGGCATGGGACAGCGGCTGTGGCTGGACCTCCGTTTCCAAATGCAAAAACTCGGAGAAGTAAGGAAACATCCCTGGAGAAGCGGCTCCCCACAGAGGCAGTGCCATGCCACCACCCCAAAGTTCAAAAATTTGAAACAAGAGACTTTCTTCGTTTTAAATTTCTTACAACATTTTGGGGAATATTTTGCCAGGAAGAACGTATGAGTGAATGTGACAGTCCCTGGAGATATTTTTCTGTTTGAGATATGCAAGGTACGGTCACGAACACGCACATTTCGATTTCAACAGAATCAATCTACTGTTTCTGGCTTTCTGTAGAATGGATTTGCTAGAAGTGCTGCTCTCTGAACATGTATACAATGAAAACTTTGGCCTGATGTTCACACGAGGAGTTATCATGGTGAGGCCGCCCCTAAGTAGTTCGTAGTTTGAACATCTGATTAGGACCACCACATGGTAAAGTTAGCAAGAATTCACCAGTTGTTTTCCGAACATGATGATTATTCTCTAAGGTGAAGTTTATGCAAAAATAATACGGCAGGGTCGATTTCAAGCACTGCTCTCTGCGAGGCCCAGAGAGGCAGCGGGAAAGGTTATATAACTTCAGTGATCTGTCAAGCCATGCTGTATGCATGCCGTACGAAGAATGTAGGAGCTGAATTGCACACAGCAGAATGTCAAGCTACGCTGAAAACAGTTTCTTTACGTACAATCTGCCGACAGCTTAAAATAACTCCAGCCGCCGGCCGCTACTCTCTTCCACATGAAAGTAGCCTTTTTGGAAAATGACAGAGCCCCACATAAACAGCCAGTAATTAAAAGGAGAAATGCTCTACCAGGCTTCCCCTCTACACAGTGACAAGGTCTTCTGCATCTTTTTGTCTTGTTTTGGTCAATCTCAATCAAAGAAAAATGAAATCAGGCTGCTCACTGATAAAAAGGGGAACTTTATCATGGCTGACTCGGGTTCACTCTGCATTTGGCACAGCCGAAGGACAGAGGCAGAGTGGTTGGAGGGCCCGGGGACAGGGCAGCTTTCTTCAGGGCACATATGTGGGTCATTCTCCCACCACGCTTGCTCTCTGCTCCCAACCGTGCCCTCGAGTGACACCCACCACCCCCTCCCGCCCTCCCTGCAGCCCTCTTCCTCCCTCCCTTCCTCCTCCAACTCCCTCCCAGTAGCCCAGCAGCATCTTGACAGAATGGCAGGAAACACGCACAGACTGGGCAGGGAAGGATGTGATGTCAGCAACCACGAACAATCAAAGGTGGAAAGGTGCTTCCTTCCCTAAACTGTTCCAGAAGCGCAAAATGGGAACCAAAACTCTCCACTTCCTTCTCTAGCAGAACCGTCTGAGCACGCCGGACTAAGCACTGGTGCCCAGAGGCCTGGGAGCGGTTCAGAGAAGGGCCACGGAGGGAGGCCAGCCCACCCCTGGGAAGCCAACTGGGAATTTCTAGCTCCCAAATGCCCGTGAGGAACTGTGGACCAGGGACAGCTCTGAGCACTTTCAGGAATAAAATGAAGCAAACCAGTTTCCTTGGGCACAGTTGCAGAAGAAACTCCATTTCCCTACATCGCAGGCCTTACACAAATCACCTTCCACCATCCTGGCGGCCAGCCCATCGGAAACGTACCCATTGAGGCAAATGAAGAATTCCATCCTGGGAAAAAGCCCACATGCACAGAAGATAACGTTTGGTTGAAACAAAAAATCACAAAAACTATTAAAAACTTTGTCTTCAAATACATTGATTTCTTTTGCTCTCACATCCAAAAACAGAGCCATCTGGGTGGTGGGGGCTCTCACACCTTTTTAGAAGGAAAGCCACCGACTTACACACTCGGTCTCAAGTGGAGCCACTTATTTTTAATCTCACAGTGAGATTCTTTCTCTTGTGACAATGGCAGTCTACGGTTTCTGTAGGAAGAAAACCACATATCAAAGGGCTCTGAGTCATCACCAGATCTCAATCATCTTCCCACAATACTTTGATTTAGAAATTAAACATAACCTTCAGTTGTGTGTTTTGATCTTAGATTGAGACTGCCATGCCACATGAAAAGATGTGGGAAGAAATTAATTCGCTTCTGCTCAACTTCTCGTGGCGGAGCCTGAATTTTGCTACCCTTGGTGCAAGGCAGTCACTTAAATAAAAACCATGAAAGTATGTGATGTCAATTGGCAAAGAATAAACTCTGGTTTTCTCTTATTCACATTAGCAGATAACCTGTTCATTGACTTACATTTTCCTTCGCCTGGGCATCCTCATAAACTGCTTTGTAAAAATGCAAGGCTTGACAGCTCAGCATACTCAAGCATACGGCAGGAACTAGTATTGCTAATAAATACAGGTGAGCTGCTTAGCATGGGGCCACAAGGCCCACGGGCCTGGCTAATGACTAATCCAGGCAATCCCCTGATTCATGATCATCTTTGATGAACAGTTTTGCTTATTGTGTTGTATCTCCATGCATTCCATTCTCTATTTCATCATTTGTGTGACAGACCGAGGAGGGGTAAGATGATATTTTGGTTGAAAGGAACAAATAGAACATTTACTTTTTTTTTTTTTGCTGCTAAGTATTGTTCTGACATTGAATTGTTCGATTCAACTGGATCCTTCTCACTTGTGCTCAGCTACCTGATGTCTCATGATCCAAGGATTTCCTGAGTTGACCGTGTCATTTATAAACTGTCAAACCCATAGCCAGGAGCGCAAGACAAGTTGTTTTAAAGCCATGGAACCAAGACTCATTGTCCTAAGGATAATTCAACAACAGCCACGCCTTACCAGAGGATCAAGCGCCATCATGCCAAACTGAGTTACTTCTCCAGCTTGTTGTAGTGTGGGACATACAAGATGAGTTCTGGGACATCTTTAAGACTCAGTAAGATATTAGCATACACACTGGTGTCCCCACAGACTCCCCTTTGCCATTTGTTAGCTCTGCCTTCCTGCTTCCCCCGAAAGGGCCCTCACATACACATT